AATCTAATCGCTCAGATGACTCAGGTCCTTGGAATATTTTAAGAATAAAGGCTGCTGTGTCAAATCACTTCATTAAATTGGTATGACTGGCCAAAGGAATACCTGACTGCTTTTTAGAAGATTCTTACATATTTGCAAAATTATAAAGGTCTTAAAATTTAGTACATTTTTTCATAATAATATTTCATCTGTCATATCTAAGGATATTGCAAACATGAATGTTTTGTATCTTTGTTCAGTCTTCCCTTTTCATCCCTTTGTCTTTTGCCATATCTTTTCTTTCCTTACAAATCTATGGTTTCCCCCATGGTGTTCTAAGTCAGATGTTTGGGATATTGTATCTAGTTATGCTACTGGCCTGATGCCCTGAAAATATGAAGCGTTTCACTGGAAACACCTGGTCAGCAGCAGCAACCCGTCAGTCCTGCATGCCGTAAACTGAAGGCTTGTTACTCTGCAACAGCCGTCACATAGATGCTGTTATGGGTTTCTTCCTGAGGGTGGTATCAGCTCTACAAGTTTTGCCATGGTGCAGCCCGAAGACGGGTGTAGCCCCTTGCTGGTGCACAGTCCTGGGAAGTGTGGTGTGTGGGGGGAGGGATGGATCACCAACACAGCCTTATACATCGTCACGTTAGGTCTTCCGTTGGTGCAAGTTTTCTTTTTCGACAGGGCTGTGTTTATTGGTCTTTTAATTTCTGCTTAGCTCTGTATTGCTTTCTCTGAAGCACCGAGTTCTCGTCATCTGGTGGTTCTGCTGCTTGTATTTCAGGGTAGCCAGCTTGGCACTGTTGCAGCCTGCTTGCACCATGTTGTAGGTAGAACAATGTGTCTGCCTTTTGGCAAACCATGTAGTTACTAGGTCTGCACACACGCAAGGTAAGGAACTAACTTGTTTAGATTGACAGTTGCGTTTTTCTGAACCTGAGTTAGTATGTACCAGCTGTCTGATACTAAATACATCCGAGCCTAAGAGATACCCCTGCTGCCTTCCCTGCTGTTTGTTTTTTCCAGCTGTTATATCGATAGCATGCTCTGGGTGTTCTCAGACCTTGTAGCGGAGGGGAGAGGGCATGAAAGATGGTGACAAAGCCAGGAGGAAAAAGGAGAGACCAGTTGCTTCCAGAAGCAAAAGCCAGCTCTCCCTTATGCAATGGGTGGCTGGTTTTTTCTCCCTTCCCCTCCGAATGCCACTCTTCCACGTGCGTGCTCTTCCCTTCCCCTCCCCAGCCCGCGGGGTGCATGCAGCCCCTCTGAGAAATGATGCAAGCAGCACAGCACTTTAGGAACAACTGCGGAAGCCATCACGAGCCGTCTCTTTGCTGAAGGCAGGTGCTGTTTTCAACCAGCATTTCATTACCACAGATCTATTAACATCCATTTTGTGTAATCCAAAAATAGCTTGTTCAGCTCAAGAGTGAGGACATTCTCCCTAAAGGTCCTGGAAGCCTGAGGCTGCAGCTGTGCTATGTTCAGAAGGCATATCGCTAGTTAGCTTTAAGCCAGCTGGACCAAGTACAGCAGTAGTCAAATAGTAACGTGAGTTCAGCATGGACGAGCTAGCTGAAGGGGGCCTGGGCTTCCCAAGAGGCTTCTAAAACTCGAAGCAGGGAAAGCTGGCCCTAGCCTGGCTGCTACAGCCATTTTCCTGCACCATAGCATAGTAATAAACTTTTTTTATGTGATTGATAAGCAAGAATGCCATTCAAATCATTAGAATGTAAATTCTTGAGGGCTTTGTCGTGCTCCTGAGCTGCTTAAATTTTAGTGTATTTGTGTGTTCAGCACAGTAGCTGAATGTAGTTACTGAATGAAACAGCATGCAATTTTATTTCCTCAGAAACAGAACGGTAAAATGCAATAGCATAAGACCATGGTGAAAAATTGGTTTTGGCCCATGTTTGCTGCTGACTAACGGCCTGCTTGCTTCTGGTTAATATGGAGCAGCTGTACGTAGCTGTACTTCGGTGGTAGTGATGTCCTGTGTCCAAGCCCTAGGTGTGTGCCTTACCTTTGAAAAGACAAAACAATTATCTGGCTGCTTCTGATGATATTGTATTCAAAAGAACAGATGCTTGTCAGGAGAGATGGTAGTGAGGGTGCACACATTGTTACCCCATGTCCAGTGCAAGATAATGCAGTAAATCTTGACCACAAAAGTGCTCCAAGGTAATTAATTTAACATTGCACCATCAGCTTCCATGATTCAGCTGAGCAGTAATTCTGTATAACTTGCTAACTTCTCTTCATCCAAGGCAGGTAAGTGTTGAAACACTTGAGTGGAGCAGTGCCCTAAAATAAAATTTAAAAAACCACACACACAGAGATAAACTTATGGTAGTGGTGAACAGTCTGCTCTCTGCAAAAACTGTTAGTGCTGCAGTCTGCATTAAAAAAACAACTGCAGTCCTCTTACAGGCATTACATTTTCATGTTTTACTTAAGATATTGTTGAGCAGAAATGCAGAATTATTCTTGTTGAATTTGCTTATGTGTTAATATATTTGGATTTGATCCATTTGCCTTGGAGAGTGGCAATGTCAGACTTGGATCTAACGCAGTCTGATACAAATTCCTAAGAATTCCTACCAGGAAACCTTGGCTTTATCTTCACTAGCAATCAAGTACTTTCTGAATGCAAACGTGCCCAAAATCTCAGTGTAGGTAATTGCTGTGGAGAAGCTCCTTGATTTAAACATGTGATGGTGGAAATGGTATCCTCAGCTAGGAGGTTACTATGGCAAGGTTAATATATTAAATCTGCACTTGCTCATTATATCCAGAAATTTTTGGCACGCCATCTAATATGGCCAACAATAGTTGGTAGGGTTTTGTTGTTTTCTTTTTTGTTTTGAGATAAAGCTTGAAAGCATAAACTAAAACTAATGCGGATGATAAGCACTGAGCATGTAACTGTGGAACTAAGTGCATTTTGTAGTATGTTAAAAGTTTAGGGGAATTATGCAGCAAGAAAGAGGAACAGCAAATTTGTGGTCTAGCATGGCAGCTACACGAGGGGCAGGTATGTTCTACATTGGTTTTAAAATCTGCTTGCCAGCTAGAACTGAGGCAGAGAGACAGAGCCAGCTCCCTGATATTTTTTTTATTATTTCATTCCCCCCCTCCTCCAGCTTGCCTGTGGTAGGACCAAGGAACCAAACACAAAATGGGCTCGGGGAGAGCCGATGTTTTACAACTTCTCGGTGTCTAAAAAAATAAACAAGAAGTGCGACTGCGTGACTCACTGCTTAGTGCTCGCCGCTCGCATCTGTTTTCCTGAATTCCCTTCCCCTTTCTCCCCTTTCTCCGGATGGCTCTGCTAGGGTCCCCTCGCTGCCCCAACCACACCACCCCCAGGGCCACCAGTGGGGCCCAATGCTCATCCGGCCTTCAACCAGCTCCAGTGTCTGGCTGAGTGCAGGCTTACGCCGAGGTTAACCAGGCTGGCACAATCAAAAGCATGACTTGCTAGTGGGTTGATTGCACCCACTGATTGATTTCTGAGCAAAGAAGCCAAAGGATTTTTCTTTTTTTTTTTTTTTTTTTTTTTTCTTCCCAACAAACAATCCTTTAAAAG